ATTAATTAAAGAAACTTTAAAGAAGCTCTAAAGAAACCTTTCTTAAAGTTAAAGAAACCTCTCTTTTCTCCTCTGATAATTCCTAAAGAAGCCTCTCTTAGAAACCAAGAAGCCTCTCTTTCCTCCTTTGTCGATCCTAATTTATATCACATCTAGTCTATATTATACGAATACTGAAAAAGAGATCTATAAGTTCTAGAATAGATCTACGTTACACCATAATACAAAAAGAGAAAAATCACCCTAAATTGCCTCAGACCTAGGAAGATCTATTTCATATTATACGGACTTTTAAAATTGAATTTAGGCCTAGGCTATACCTATTTATATCTACTTTAAAGCTAGTAGCTTACTGTGAATTCTAGGTTAGGAATACCTGAAGAATGTGTACTCTATGAGCCAAATTTGTAGGCGTAAGAACTCTAATCAGCTAGCAGCTTATTGTGACCCCTAGGTTAGGAACACCTGAAGGACGAGTACCTCACGAGCCAAACTTGTAGGTATAAAGACTCTAATTAAAGCTAGCAAAGCAATAGATTAGTAGGCTTTTTAGGTACACGGTTATGTTTTTTTTAATAACACTATTCTTTCTTGTTTTTTTTAAGTTTTTAACGTATTCTTGATAACTTATATAACTTATATATAACATATAAAAAACTTACATGAATAGTATATTTTTATATATACTACACACTTGGTGTACTTTTTTGATATCTATTTCGATAGCTATTTAGCTTTCTATTACTAAAAAGTACACCTCTCTAAGGGTATATGATGCAGTTGCGGAGTGAAGCAGAGCATAGTTATCATATTTAATTTCTATTTAGTTTTTTGTACTAGAGGAGCATAGTGACTCTGAATGCGAAGTGTAGCATAGCATTAGTTATCTATTTAATTTATAATTAGTTTCTTAACACTAAGGAGTATACACCTTAGGTGTGAGCAATGTAGTTACAGAGTGAAGCAGAACATAGTAATCTTTTATTTAAACAAAAGATCTGATATATTAATAAAAAATACTGAAAAAATATATTACTATGGCTAAGATACTTAAATGTCTAGGTTGTGATCGAGTAATAAAAACTAGTAAAACTTGAGATCTTAATAAACACATGAATTTAAATAGAAACCTTCGTAAAGGACAATACCAACTAGCTTTGCTTATAATGCAAAATATAAGAAACATTACTCCAGAGCAAAATATACCTCAAACTGAAAACGTTACTCTAGAGCAAAATTCGCTAGCAACTCCTGAAGGTGATCTTATATCATTCAATGAAAAAACACCAACACTTTAGCCAAGAGAGGCAAGTACGCTAGCAGTCAACTCTCAGATAAGAGAATCAGAAATAAGTCAAAGACTCGAAGCTCAATATCCTCAATACTTTGCATCATCTAGTTCAAAGCAAAATAGCATGAGTTACCAAGATAAAACTATCTTAATTCATAAAAATATAGCAAATAGATTTGAGTTTTATGATGGGAAAAGAAAATAGTATGGAGTTAAAGAAGATTTTTGCGCATTATATAACAAATATCATTTTATTAAAGCAAATAATAAAGAAACAATTATGGAAGCATACAAAAGAATTAATGATGAGTCTGAAGCTATTGCTAAAAAAACTAATGGTAGAATTGATATACATAAATCTAGAAATTATACATTAACAACTATAAAATTTTTTAAAGAAACTACTTTAGCACCCCAAAAAAGTAAAAAAATAAGTGAACAAGAAAGTGTATGGATAGATTTAGCAACAACTGGTGCTCTAATATTTGCAGAAAGATATGAAGGAAAAGCTAATCAATACGATGTAAATTCAATATTTATATTTGAAATAATAAAAAAAGATGCATTATAGCCAATTGCACCAGGTAAGTTTCATACTATAAACTCATCTTTTACAAAAAAATGGAGTAAATTTCCATATGGAATTTATAAAGCAACAATAGAAGGAAATCCTTCAAAGAAAAGTCTTCAATGTATGAGATATTTACGTTATAATCCACATAGAATTTATACATATTATGATTTAGAATGTGCGTGAAAAAATAAATTGAAAGTATCATTAATAAATATATTACCAAATACGCTTATTTATGAAAGAAATGTATGTATAACAGGAAAAAACATGTTTGGTGAATGGGGTAATATATTATACAAAATTAAAAAAGAAGGTGGAATAGAAGGAAAAGTTAGTAAAGCATTATTAGTTTCATTATGGAATGCATTATGTGAGCAAAGAAATAGACAAAATTATAGTTTACATCTATAAATAAAACTATTTTTATTAGCATCTGTATGAAAAAGAATATCAGAAATTGTAAAGCTACTAGGAGATCAAGTAAAATGTATACATACAGATGGCTTTATTATAGCTGAAAAAGTAGAACTTAAAATGGGAATAGAAATGGGTGAGCTGAAATTTGAGAAAAATAGAGTTTGTGTAGTAAAAAATTGCATATCAATTACATGGAAACTATCATATCCAGAAATTCCAAATTTGATTATTTTCAAAGAAAATGAACTTCACTCTACAAATAGTTTATCAGATTTTGAGAAAATACAACAAGATAAAAAGCAGAATACAATATTAGATATAGAGTATCCTGCTTCACAGACAGCAAAAAGGAAACTATTAAAAAAGTCTGATATAAATCTTCTGAATGAAATTATAATAGAAATATTTTAATATTTACGAATACAAAATAAAAGATTATGTGGTAATAATAAATTATTGTTTTCAGTTTTATAGTTAACAAACAATGGAATGAATGTGCAACATATTTAATATGAAGAAGGATTAAATTATATAGATATAATATTAGAAATTTTGTCAAAATAATAAAAAAGAAACTATTACTGAATGTGATAAAATATATAAAACAGATAGAATTCAAAAGAATAGATAATTATTTTAATATGAATGA